AAGTACATGTAATATGTGTGAAAGGACACCTTAAAATAAAGTGTTACGAAAAATTTAATAATATATAAATTACATAATATATAAATAATTTTATAATTGTATAATAATTATATCTTTATTGTTGTTATTTTTATTGTCATTACTATTATTATATAGTTTAGAAAAATGTGACAAGAACCTATGGACCCTGGTTTCAGCGAGCTATAATGAACATGAAGTTCGTTTCAGTGAGAGTATTCCCAAGACCGTCCAAACGCTCAAAGTCCTCTGCTGTGTTTTACTATATTCATTATACTCATTATGACTTTATGATCATTATGACTATGGTATGGATTTATGGCCGTTGGTGCTTAATGCTGTGAAGTTGTGTGTGCTGAACAGGAGTGTCTAAGTGAAGATTATTGTGACTCATACAGTCTTTACGTCACAAAGCTTTCCAGAAATCCTTGGGAAGGAGGGACTGATAACACGTGGCTTTCATGCTCCGGACAAACTTCTTTCACAGACCCTTCCCAGACCTCTTTTGAGCATTTCTTTTATTTTATTCTCTTCTATCAACAAATCTTGATATTAGCCTAATTTAAAATTGAAAAAAAAAAAACTGAATTATTTAGAGGTAGTCTTTGCATTATGATATGGCACTAATGATGTTATTTATGTCTGGCAATGATCCTGCTTCAAAGAGAGTTTTATCTACAGCAGCTGTCACTAAACCATAAAACCATACACATATCAGCTTTGTTCATCAAGGTTGCACTTTAAAGCCTGTAGTAGGGCTGCACGATTAATCGAATGCGATTGTCATGCGCATTTTGTTAGTAAAGCCGGTTCTGTAATCAGCAGGAAATCATCATCACGTGCTTTCAGATGGAGCAGAATTTACTGCACATAGCCGTAGTTCACTGACAAGTTACGCAAAAAAATCGCAGATGATTTTATTGCGCGATTATGAAATCGAAGAAATCATTCGCGATAATGACAGCTGTTTGCATAGCTTCTCAGTGAACTACGGCTCTGTGAAGTAAATGCTGCTCCATCTGAAAGCATGTGAAAATACCACATTTAATAACATATTTTACTCCAAACTCACTTCATAACGTCAGTCGAGTGTTTGAAATAAATCCTTCTGTGAGATGATGTGGCTTCTTACACAGAATAAGGCACGCAACATATGTCATAGTATTCTAAGCAGTGATAAAGGCATTGCATTATAAATACTTTATTTTAATGAAAATTATAATAATAAGAACTCAGATAAACCGTATATTGCCGCAGTCGTGTGTTTATTAGTCACGTTGAATCAATAAAAGCAGTTAAATCTTCTGTTTATCCAGCTACCGCTATAGGCATTTCCTGGGTTTCTTCTGCGAGGCGTATTTGGAGTTTCAGCGCGAGAGCGCCCTCTGGCCTTTGGATGGAGATTTACTGCTGATCACAGAACCGTGCTTCACTGAAAGATACGCATGACAATCGCAGCTTCTGTCGAATCGCGATCGCGATCTCGATTCCATTTCGATTTATCATGCAGCCCTACATTCTAGTGTAGCTGTATTAAACTTTTATTGAAAACTCCTTTTTGTTTTATATCTCCACCTAGTTTGATACCATGGTTGATGACTTTTTTTCCCCAAAATTAAAAGATAATTTGACTGTTAATTTCTAAGCTTTCTAGGTTAGCATGAGACGGTTTCAAAGTAGCTTCTCCAGCACAAACAAAACCTCAAAGTGAGTTTACCTCTGCTAGTTGTGATGTATCTTAGGTTGTAAAGTGCATGATGGTAGGGTTGACTGTCATCATAGTATGAAGATGATGTCTCGGTGTAACTGGGCCTGTAGAAAATATTACAACAAGCAGGGCAGAAAGTCACAGCATGCATGCATACTTCTGCTGAGGACATAATTATTTTGTAGGTGGGAAAGAGACATCAAAATCACTCCTTACACTCCCTGACTATGATAACGGGTGGCCTCGTACACACGGGGGTCCCTTTGTGTGTCAGCATATCGTTGCTTCTCTCGGTGGCTTCGTGATCTGTCGTCTCCATCAGGTGCTCTCCTGTCCTCGCGTCCACCTTCATCTCTCCTGTCTCGACTAGAGTAGTCTCTGTCCCTTGTGTGATGATGCCGGCTTGATTCTGGCATTGCCTGAGAAATAAGGAGATTTCACAAATTTCATGGGTTTAAAATTTGATGCACGTTCACCTGAATAATAGTGAAACCAACATGACAAGTTGTTGCTAGTTAACTGATGTGGGTTGGAACAGTCTCCCATCAAGAAAGATTCTCCATTTAATCATATAACTTTTATAAAAGTAGGCTATTTCTGTAAAGTAAACTTTTTATGTAAATGCTGCTCCATCTGAAAGCATGTGAAAATACCACATTTAATAACATATTTTTACTCCAAACTCACTTCATAACGTCAGTCGAGTGTTTGAAATAAATCCTTCTGTGAGATGATGTGGCTTCTTACACAGAATACGGCACGCAACATATTTCATAGTATTTAAGCAGTGATAAAGGCATTGCATTATAAATATACTTTATTTTAATGAAAATTATAATAATAAGAACTAAGATAAACCGTATATTGCCGTAGTCGTGTGTTTATTAGTCACGTTGAATCAATGAAAGCCTAGCCTGTAGATTGTTTGATACTAAAGATTAGATAGGGTGTATCCAGACCTTAGCAGATAAGGGAGGAATATAAACACTTTCATTCTGTTTTCAGAGTGCTAATAGAGAATCCATGCATTGGAAGCTATTCAGTGACAATGTATTGAAATAGAGATATCCCTGTCTCTGTATCTCCAGAGCAAGCATAAAATGAAATGTCACTGGGATTCATGTCACAGCTTTTAAGCATTAGGAGGGCGTAAATGAGTTCAACCAGCGGTACACGCCTACACAGAAGATGAAATGATAAAAGGCCTGAATCTGAAACAGTCAGTCAACAGTGCACTAGTTTATTTTATATACAGTAGGCTATATATACAGGTGCATCTCAAAAAATTAGAATATCATGAAAAAGTTCATTTTTTGTAACTTATTTCAAAAAGTGAAACTTTCATTATTCTAGATTCATTACATGTAAAGTAAAACATTTCAAAAGTTTTTTTGTTTTAATTTTGATGATTAGAGCTTACAGCTCATGAAAGTCAAAATTCCAGTATCTCAAAATATTAGAATATTTCCTAAGATCACTCAAAAAAAAGTATTTGCAAAACAGAAAAGCTCAAGTTCTTTAAAGTATGTTCATTTATGCACTCAATACTTGGTCGGGGCTCCTTTAGCACAAATGACAGCATCAGTGAGGTGTGGCATGTAACCGATCAGCCTGTGGCACTGCTGAGGCATTATTGAAGCACAGGTTTCTTTAATAGCGGCCTTCAGCTCGTCTGTATTGTTGGATCAACTGTTTCTCATCTTTCTCTTGAAAATATCTCATAGATTCCATATGGGGTTCAGGTCAGGCATGTTGGCTGGCCAATCAAGCACAGTAATATCATGGTCACCAAACCACTTGGAAGTGGTTTTGGCACTGTGGGCAGGAACTAAAGTTATGCTGGAAAAGGAAATCAGCATCTCCATAAAGCTTGTCAGCAGATGGAAGCATAAAGTGCTCCAAAATCTCCTGGTAGACGGCTGCATTGACTTTGGACTTGATAAAACACAATGGACCAACACCAGCAGACGACACGGCACCCCAAATCATCACTGACTTCGTAAACTTCACACTGGACTTCAAGCAGCTTGGATTCTGTGCCTCTCCAGTCTTCCCCCAGACCTTGATTTCCAAATGAAATACAAAATTTGCGTCTGAGCGTGATGACTCTTGATGCACTGACTGCAGCTTCAGTCCACTCCTTGTGAAGTTCTCCCAAGTGTTTGAAACGGCTTTGTTTGATAGTATTCTCAAGCTTACAGTCATCCCTGTTGCTTGTGCACCTTTTCCTACCCATTTTCTTCCTTCCAGTCAACTTTGTATTTAGTATGCTTTGATACAGCACTCTGTGAACAGCCACCCCATTCAGTAATGACCTTCTGTGACTTACCCTCGTGGAGGGTGTCAATGATTGTCTTCTGGACCATTGCCAAGTCAGCAGTCTTCCCCATTATTGTGGTTTCAAAGAACAAGAGATACCCGGAATTTATACTGTAGGGATGGTCATTTAATGAACCTCAAATGTAAATATTCTAATATTTTGAGATACTGGATTTTTGACTTTCATGAGCTGTAAGCTCTAATCATCCAAATTAAAACAAAAAAACTTAACTTTTGAAATGTTTTACTTTACATGTAATAAATCTAGAATATATGAAAGTTTCACTTTTTGAAATAAGTTACAAAAAAAAAAAACTTTTTCACGATATTCTAATTCTTTGAGATGCACCGGTATACATATATATATATATATAAACACACACACACACACAGACACTACCAGACAAAAGTTTTAAATGTTTTCGAAATATGGTTCTTATACGGCCATGGTGTCTGACAGGACAAAAATGGCCTCACACATACTCACACACAGACAGCTGAGGATTGTAGCTGTCTGGGTTGAAATATAGCCCTGTATATGTGCTTCAGCTGGTGTTTAAACACAGACTGCTGTTATGTCTCCTCAGAGCAGTCTGGATGCTGAGAAACCTTTCGTACTGCAAGAACAGACAGAGGCCATTGACAGGTAAACCTAAACGCTCTTCTCTCCTTGCTTTATTGTCATATGCCTAACCCAGAATAGAATGAAACTAAAGCTCTCCCTTGAAATGGAAAACTAACCTTTGGTTAGGTGTTAGATTTTAAGTATAATTTTCAGTCTTATATTGCTTTTGAAATGGCCATGTATGGTTATTAGTGATGATTGCTGAAGTCAATTCCTTCACATAGACCTGCCCCCCTTCGTTACTGTTGCTACGTCTGACAAGCCATGCCGCTCTCACGCCACACATCATGATACATCCATGATACAAAATACATCGTGGAGCAAAGAGGAAACTGACAACGCGCCGACAGATAAGAAAGAGCAGGTTACTTCATATGCGACCCTGGACCACAAAACCAGTCATAAGGGTCAATTTTTTGAAAGTCAATTTGTCAATTAGTACATCTGAAAGCTAAATAAATAAGCTTTCCATTGATGTATGGTTTGTTAGGATAGGACAATATTTGACAGAGATACAGCAATTTGAAAATCTGGAATCTGAGGGTGCAAAAAAATCAAAATACTGAGAAAATCGCCTTTAAAGTTGTCCAAATGAAGTTCTTAGCAATGCATATTAGGGCTGTCAAAATGGCTGAAAAACTAAATTCAAATTTTTTTATATATATTCGATATATTCGATTTTTGTATATTCGAATTATATTCGAATTTAAAATGCATAATTTCAGTTAGGGTGAAGAAAAGCTGCTAATCAAAAATTAAGTTTTGATATATTTATGGTAGAAAATTTACAAAATATCATCATGGAACATGATCTTTACTTAATATACTAATGATTTTTGGCATAAAAGAAAAATCTATGATTTTGACCCATACAATGTTTTTTTGGCTATTGCTAAAAATATACCCAAGCGACTTAAGACTGGTTTTGTGGTCCAGGGTCACATATATGAAACAAAGTAGCAGCTTTCAAATAGTTTTTTTTTTTTCTCAGAAATTCAAACAATAAATGCCGTTTTGTGGCTCTTTAATGTGTCATTACAGATCGCTGTAGCGCCTCAGTTCAAGCAGCACGTGAACCGATCATCTCTTCCTCTTTACTAGTTATAACATGAAATAAGCATCAAAAGGTATCTTGTTTCGACAGCGGAAAGACATCATTACACACTATTTTTCAAGTTCAGGGGCCTGATGTATAAACGTTGCATACGCACAAAATGGGCATGGAAATGTAAATATGTGTGCACCGTACGGACACTCTAGACCATGTGTACGCACTCTTTTACTGGAGTGAGCGAAATAATGAAGCAAACAGAATGATTTTAAAGTCTGCTTTACATTTGACATACACATTTAGATTAAATATGACTCTTAATAATGAAGTTAAGCACTGAAATTTCATGAAATTATTATCTAGAAATTACAACATTTTTATATGAATTTAAACAGAAATATTTGTAGTGTATGTGCTGCTTTCGAACAATTTTCCTGTGGTATGCGATTTAATCTTTTAATCACAGTGAGGATTGCTTGGTGCATGACAATTCTGCTTTGAATTGTGTTCTAAACAGCAAAACTCATGTTCTGAGAAAATACATTTGCGTGAATAATGATCACTAATGTGAACTTGATTCGTCTGATGGCTTTGGAACATAGACAGTAACGACAGACATAAGGATGCACTCGTTGATCAAACAGTCCATTGGCTGTAAGATATGCACGTTTTATTTTCAAAATGCTTTGTTATTGACGCGGTGAGTCAGGCAGTTATTTACACTGCAAAAAAATAAGGCCTATCTCCATTCAAATATAGGCTAACATTCTAAAATATATGTTTACTTTATAGGCAAAATTGCATAAATTTGAATAGCAATGTGATGTCTCAAAAAGCATTTATAGTACGTATCTCATATTTTCCTAACGTATTGTACCCTTAACTGCGTTAAACATGGTGTCACGTGGATGGAATATGCATGGAAATTATATGCAGATTACGTTATGCATATTAAACCTAGGCGTTGTAAGCTCCATATATGGCTATTTCGGGGAGGAGACAGGGTGGAGATTCATGTACGCACAATCTTCTGCTGACTGGGTATTACAAAGGGAATTTTTTGCA